ATATATATATATATATATATATATATCCTACAAAACAATAACTGAGCCCTACAGGAACTTTCTAAGCAAGCTTCAACTGTTTCCTCCAATGTGTAACTCCTTCCTTTGCATTTTCTCCATATCTATAATGCCATCAAGGCATTGAAGGATCTCCACATCATCTGATGTGCTAATGGATAATTAGCTTTCTACTAGTTGTATATTTTAACTGGTTTCTCAAATGTGTGACGGTTCTGCAATGGTTGAATGCAACTTGCAATTAGAATCGGGAGAGGGAGAAAATATCAAAAGCATGGCAATACAACTTACTAGAAAATGCATTACTTTGAATAACACCTAGGTATCAACAGTAGTCAACAATATTGCAGTACCTACCTGATTTACATAAGCCCTCTTAGGAGTGTTATCGGGATGCTCTAGACCAAGGTATTGCTCCCAAGCACCATAAACATCTCTTCTCTGAAGAGAATATCAAAAATTCATTAAAACACCATTTTGTATAAAAATAAAATTTCTAAAAAAAATACTGATCAAATATGAGGAACAGGAACATGGCGAAGAAACCAAGACAAACCTGAAAACGATTGAACACAATGTCAGAGTCCTGTAGATACTCTGGTCGACCCAATGACAAAAATGCAAACTTCCACTGGGAAAAGCGATGAAGAAAACATCAGGAGAGGGTAATCAAAAACTGATGTCAAGATTCCATATACATAATAATGTGTGCATGCACCCAAGGAGTAGTGCAAGTGAGAATAAATGCTGAATTTGTACATTGAGAGGATAAAGTTAAAAAGAAAGAAAGAAAGAATTAGCATAAATGAATAAGATAAGCATGAAAATACCTTGGTGAACTCTTCATCATGAACCTGCAATTTCTTTTGTATCCGCACTTTAACTTCAGCCAGAGTTTCACCTTCATGAATGACCAAGAAAAAGGGCTCACCAAAATTTTGTACTTGCTGTTGACCAAAAAAAAACCTTTAATTCTTACAACATCCGAATTGTGTGAAATCACCAGCCATTATCCACCAAATATCTCAAAACAGATCATGACTATTTATCAATTCACTTGTATTTGAATACCATCTGATTCTGGGAAGTCTCTTTGGTAAAATGGTAGACATGAATCAATCGATCATGAGGACCAAGATTCTTCTCTTCTTCTGGGATCTGAGATTTAATTAAAAAAAAAAGGTAACTAATAGATACTGCAAACATCAATAACAGAATATTTAGAGATGCTAACTTATTATAAACAAACTCTTAAGAAATTAGGCCTTAAAGCCACAGCTTGATGAAAATAGTCCCAAACAAGGATATATCTGAATGAAAAACTAGAGAAGAAAAGTAGTTATACTGAAAGGTTTTTATGTAGAGACAGAATTAAAGAATGCCATACTTCCTATCTAACATACCAAGCTTTAGTAACCAGTTGGCCCAATCAGGTCACTTTTCTTCATTAATATCAAACATCCACTTGTAATTTAAAAAATTCTGCTGTCAGTCTCATGTTGCATCCGGATTCACACAGACACTCAAACATAGATAAAACTCTACAAGTAAGACATTTAGAGAATGCCAGTTGCATTTGCTCAATTGTGCATTTAGACAGCTAAAACATGCTCAAGTATTGGAAGGCCCTTCTTGAAAAGTTCAGCTACCAAAAAAAAAAAAAGAATGTGTTGCTTATGACCCCTCTTTTGATGATCCACTTCCAAAGCTATACCCCTATAATTCCACAAAAGACAGTCCTTCCCCTATATGCACTTCATGAATAACATTGTCTGAAAGCATCTTAGCCATGAAATTTCAGCTACAATGGGATGGAAAAAATTAAAAAAACTTGCCTCTTCTGCACGCAATGTCCAATACTGGTCATTTATGTTCTCAATCTTTTCACTGGGTGGAAAGATCTGAAAAAAAAAAGAAAAAAGAGATAGAATAAGAATGAATCACATGAGAAAAGCATATACTGTACCCATAATTCCCATAAGACACTTAAAATTCAAATGTCTCGAATATATTTATATACAATTTAAATTGCAACTAGTGATCAATATTCAACCAATTTCTACCTTATATATCTTGTGATAAAAGACTTCCAGCAATCTAAGCTCTGCATTTGGATGTGACAACTCCACCTGTTTCACAGTGCAGAATTAAAAAGCAGAGATGGAACATGGTATGAACTTCGAATTGTATGGGAAGTCAATAAAGATATACTACCTTAGATACACTCCTTGGACAGATATCATGCATTAACACACTATAAACAGAATATTGGGAATAACAACCCATCAAACTTATGATAAGGAAATACATGCAAGATTCTGGTTGCTTCTCAATTGAATATTCACACAATAGTTCTCTCCTATGGAAAGGAGACTAGAAAATGATTGTCATAGTTCTCTCCAATAGTAGAAAGGTTACTAGAAAATGATTTTGTCAAAAAAAGAAAAGAAGAAGAATAGTCATTGCCAAAAAGAGCCACAGGAATCCCTCATCACTAATAACACTATCATCTCTTCTTTGCTTCAAGCATTTAGATGTAAAATAGAAATGGCAAAAACTTACCTTTGTCTTAAGTTCATCAATTACATTTCCAACGGTGCTCTGTTTCGGCAATCTAATATTGTGAATAACCACCTGAAAATCATGTTAAACATCATTACAGAAAGGGCCAAAACATCATATGATCACTAAAAGAAAGAGGGAAGGGGGATGAATCACTACAGATCTATTCTCACTTCATCCCTAGTAGCGTGATGGAAAGCAACTTTCAGGTTTTTCAGACCTTGCAATTCTGGCAAAGGGATATCCAAAACTTCATAATACAAAATGTCAGAAGTCTGTAAATGAAAAAACACCAAATAATCAGTCAAAGTATATAATGCATAAATGGAGCAAACATAGCAAGATGTCAAACTCATAGGGGCTACCTGGTTATAGTGGACCAACATTTCTGAAAGATGCTCTACTCCTCGATATTTAATAGGTTGAGGTTTTGGTTGCTGAGAATAGCAGTTGTGAGACGTGAGCCTGATTTTGGATGGATCATCCAGACCAATTTTGCGAGCCACTCTTTCCACAACATCATCATAAGTATGTATCTTTGACCTTGAATGTCACAGAAGAAACAGAGTATAAATACCTGCGACAATGGCTAAAAATTCTTCCACTATCCGAACAATAGTTTTCATTAGAAGTACTTACAACTCTAGACAAAAATCATCTTCCTTTGGTCTCTCCAGAGATCGAAAACGAACAATCTAAGTAGTATCAAATCACAGAAACACTTAATTTGAGTTAAAGGAATCCAAGCACAAACAAAATTACACCTAATGAAAAATTAATAAATAAAAGAACATCCTAAGGGGAATGCTTATAAGGAGAGATGACACAAGATTGTGACAGGCAATTCTCCAAAAAAAAAGCTAAAACCTGTTGCCTGATGGAGGCTAAAGTTGTCAGGCTCAATGCCGTTCCTTGACTTCAACAAATCAACGTGTTGCCTAATGGTTGTTAAACAACCAGCTCATTAAATTATATATAAACAACTCCCAATATGGTATGACCCTTTTTCCTTTTAACATCCAAAAACAGATTAACATCCTCAAAGAACGAAAGATCACGTGTGAATGAAGACAGTATTACTGGAACTGAGTACAGATATCTCTTTCCCTCTCCACCAAATTCCAAATTTTTATTTATAAGAATGAGTAAACAATATAAACCTCTATCAGCCTCCCAAAATAAAATCAGCTAAAAAACAAAAAAACCCCAAAACAACAACAGATTCTGCAAGCTACCACATATTAATAAGTTTCAATAGACTGTACCTGGCGATTGTGCACATATTCCAGGAATGAAGGCACATCTGGATATCGGCATGCTTCTTCACTTTCAATCGGAGGAGACTTCTGAAAGCATATGATATCCCCATCTTCTATCTGCAAGCAAGACAGTGTCACTGGCAAGTTACAATAAAAAAGGATGTATGTTCTAAAGCAAAAGATACCTGACTTAACCGGAATGAGCATCTCTTATCAAGGTGCTCACACATCACACACGGCTCAAACTTTATTTCCTGAAATTGCAAAGTCAACAGGTGAGAGAAATTGGTTAAAAAATCTGTTGAAGCGTATGCAAACACAGAGTTGAGCAGTTACAAACCTCATAAAGTTCTATTTCTTCATCAGGAGAAAAGCCAGCCATTTGATTTAGCTTCGCTATATATTCTATTGGCTTACCAGAAAGTTTTACCAAGAGCCTCCCAACATAACTGCAATGGAACAAAGTGCAAAGTCAGGAAGTACAAGGAAACACAGAATATACAAGAATAAAGAGGACAAGCTAAATACCGTAATTCTCCTTTCTCTGGGTCATAAAGCTTGAAGAAAAGCAAAATATCTTCCCTTGTTTTATCAGGTGGGGGAATAGGGCGTAAATCCTGAAGTTATCACACAAAATGTCAAAAAGGAATGTGAGAAGACAAAAAATATATATTTTAAAAACTCAAAACAATAGTTAATAAAACAACATTACCTGTCCATGCTCAACCTCTAGGAATAGCTTTAGTTCTGCGTTGTGTGCCTTATTTGACACCTCCCTCAACTGTCCAACCTAAAATCACCAAACAGAAACCATTAACCCAAAGGACTAATCACAAAACTGAAAAATTAGGACAAACAGCGCTCCTCACCAACTACTCCATCCTACAACATTGGTCCATCTACCCTCAACTGAATGGCTCCAAGTAAAATTTCTATTACAACTTTTTCTAAACAATAAAAAATTGCTAGAAGACAAAAGAGTTCTATTAAATTTGAACAAACATGTAATATCATTTAAGCTAACACACTTTTTTATATTCAACCCACAAAAAAAT